GGAGGAGTTGTCGGTGAGTGGTACTGGAACTGTGGTTGTGAGATCTCCAAGAGGAATCCAATCCACTTCTCTATTCAGTGACCAGAGCTCCCTGGTATTGTCAGCTTTTCTACCACAATTTCTTTACACTCATCTGCCAATCTTTTTGGCATATTTGCCATTGACTACTGGTGTCAATTCACTTTGCAGTCCAGTAGCACACTTGCTTCTTTTGAGGATGCTTCTTCCAGTGGCACTGTAGTTTATCGTGGACGTCATGATGACCCAGATTCTCCTCGAACGCCAAAATCTCGGTTAGGAAATCAAGAGAGATCTTCAAGTGCATCACTTGAAGACAGCTCAGCAAACCTTGCAGAGGTATCTCACTTCAGAATTCTTAATTCAAGCTGGTTTCCATTTATGGAAAATTTGTCTTAATTAAAATATGCTAAAATCCAACAACAACATACCAAGTGTAATCCCACAACCACAAGTGTGGTCAGGGGAGGGTAGTGTGTACACGGGCCTTACCCCCACCTTGGTAGGTAGAGAGGTTGTTTCAGATAGACCCTCGGCTCTAAAGTATGTTGAAATCTGTGGGTTGATTTTTGTACTACTAGACTTTGAACTAGGTATAGGGATGGCCACAAGGATAATAAAGACGGAAAATGTGTAGAACTTTTATCAAGAAAGGATCATATATAAAACTTCATTCTAGCAATAGTTTATTCATTAGGTTGGGATTTCTTCTTACATTTAACAAACTTGCATATTTTTTCCACTCTTTAGTTCTGATTTATTAATCTAATTATGTTAAAAGTCCAACCAATATGACATCTTTCCGTGGTTTGTTGCATAAAGCTTATTAGATGTGAACTTTTTTAGGCCAAGGCGGCCATGCTAGCAGGACTGAAGAAGGGAAATGTTAGAGACAGATCAAAATTGGGCAAGGTGCAACGTGATGGGCTAGAAAATAAAACAGAACAATCTACAATGAGCTCTGATTCTTCTAGGTACACAAGTTTTTGAAGCTGAAAGATGGTCTGAAGTTGGTTTATCCTAGTTTCACCATTTCTTCTCTGAAGCACCATAATTTTTCCAGGCACTCGCGTGATTATCTTGATGCACAGAAGGCGTTTTCAAGATCACGCCATACAAGTGATGAAGAAGATGGTGCGAGAACATATCCTGCACCTTCATCTGCCACCTTATCTGTTCTCCTTATTCCTTCATTAAAAGAGGTACGGCTTGAGCTTTAAGTTACCTTAGATCTCTTATGGGTGATATTTTATGGGAGTCATGCTAGATGAAGTTGAGGTCTGTTGAGCTATGCTTGTTTAGATTGTGATACATTCATATCTGTATGCATACTAGACTATGTGCTGCTGGTCCTTTTTCCATCACAAACCTTTGTTGTAGGCCTGATTTCCAGCACTTTCTGGGGCTTCAAACAGCGCATATTTGAAACGGAAAGGGTTCAAAATTTTTTGGGATAAAAGGGTTTTTAATAGAATAATGCCATTGAGTTGTATTAGTATGAAAAGAGCTGAAGAAAGATGAGAAAGTAAGGCTGGAAAATGGTGGCAAAAATCAAAAGTTCAACTAACCATAAAAATCAATTCCTAGGTGGTTTAGGCATCACTACTAGGTTAGAATTGCATTAAACAATCCAAAGAGAGTGTAACGATAATAGGACATTGTAATTGCTGATATGTTTATAATTGAGCGCACTACAATGGCACTGGTAGACTTCAACGAACTCATCTTAACAAGAAGTATTCATTGATGAATTTGGAACCAAATACTTGTACTTGTATAAAATCAGACTATCTAGACTAAGATATTGATTAAAAAAACTCTTGGCTAGACTAGGATAAGAAAGGGATTATCGTATCTAGACTCATAAAAGGACTTATAATCGGCTATTTGGCAGATTTTTTTTTTTTAACTGCAGTAATTCAGAAAATTTCTGCAAAGAACTATTATTGCCAGAAAAATCTAGATTTCTTAAGCTGAAATTAGGAAAAACCTATGTATTGTTGATTGCATACTAAGATGAACAATAAATGGTATACATATACCTTCCGTCATACTTTTGGGACATAGGTGCCCCTGCCGTCCAAAAACTAGAGTATATATACCCTTTATACTAACAGACATACACGTGTCATAATCTTATCCACCGATCCGACATTTATTAAATATCGGATCGACGGATAAGATTGCGCCACGTGTCCCTATTTAGTCTTCTGCTAGAGTGAAGGGCATATATGCTCTAGTTTTTGGACGGTAGGGGCGCCAATGTCCCAAAAGTATGACAGAAAGTATCTGCATACCAATTACGATAGTTGGGGGTATATCTGTCCTTTTTCCCTTACTTTTTATCTATATTGTCATTGAAATAGTGGTGGTATGGTCTGATGTGATCTGAGATATCTTGTGATCGAAAAATTGAGAGTGAACCTAATAGATTTGACCTGAATCGTTTTTATCTTTCAAGAAACACATACTGTTGGCTTTTCACCTAACGTGAAGGCAGTTGATGTTCTACCAGATGTGGAAGCAACCACTAATGCTTGCATTAGGGTAGGCTGTCTACATCACACCCCAAGGGTGTGGCCCTTCTCCGGACCCTGCGTGAACGTGGGATGCTTTGTGCACCAGACTGCCCTTTATTTACTTCTATCAGGCTCAAAAGTCAAAAGCCTAGCACATAATTGCTCTTCTGATAATTTTCTCACCTTCTCTTCATTTATCTTGGTGTGTAGGCTGCTACCAGTGAAACAGATGGTTCACTCATGCAGGCGATGGTCGGCTCCTTTATGGATATGGAGCGCATGAAGGCTGGTTCTTGCGATCTGTTCATGACTAGGTTGCTTCAGCGACTAGCAAGGTTATTAGTTAGTCCACATTATGCTACCCTTGAAATATAACTTAAATGTATTTGTTAATAATAGCTTGTCTCAAGAGAGTTGAATCCCATTGCAGTGCAAAGGATCCGTCTTTGAAAGATCTGCAAGACCTGGCTGGTCGCATCTTTTCAAAGGGAAAGATCGAAACAGAGAGTACAAGTACCGAGTCTGATAGCAAAAAAAAGCAGCAGAGTAAAGAGCTTAATTCAAATGCCAATTTGAGTCCACTGGCGAGGTTCTTGCTTTCAAGGTTTGTCTAAAATGTCATCAAATATTAAGTTCTTGTAGTGCTGTGAAAAAATTACCGAGGCACCAAATAAATTCCTCATCAAAACATGCCTATTTTTAAATTGCGAGAGCCAAGATGAGAGACTGGATGTAAGAATTTACATCTATTTTTCCTCCGTTTCACGATTATTTTGAGCCTCTTTAGTCTAATGCCAGACTATTCATTAAGTGATGTCACAGTATTGGATGGAAAATTATTATGCTTTATATATCTAGAAATATGAAATGCATATTACGACATGCATCTATCTAACTAAGGTTGAAGCATTTGCTACGCATGTCGTCCTAAACAAGTTCGACCTTTCAATTGCAGATGGCAAGGGCATGCTTCTCGAGATCAAAATTCCTAAACATTGAGGTTAGATTATTGTTTCAAAATTTTGCCTTCTCCAATGTTGTTTGTTCCTGAATTATTTTGATTATGTGTACATATCATTTTGAGGACATCTGTAATTTCGTCCTCTGATTCAATTATTTTGGGGGTTTTCCTAATTAAAGATTTTTCTTTCTGCTTTTTCTTTGCAAATTGTAATTTAAAGCTCTATTTTTCTGTTAGAATTTATCCTTTGATTGGGCGTTTTTATTGCTCGATGTAATAGTAACAAGCTTTTTATGTTTTTAGTGCTAACCTCGGTGTTGCAACTTCCTGAAGATGTTGTAAATGACACTTTGACATATTGTTAGTTAGCTTGTTGATTTTTCCTTCCTCTTTGGTACCTATAGTAAATAACATTTCACTTTCTCTATTCATCCTTGTCGCTTGTCTTTGTTTTCTTTTGTATAATCGTAGTGCACGGGCCAACTTGGGCATACCGAAATCAACTAGTTTCGGGTACCTGCAACTTCCCACCCAGTGTAGTATTGTGTAACTGTCCACCAAATGGACAGATGAGAAGAAAAGAATTCGAACCTGAGTAATTGTCTACCAATTACACACCCATGGATGAGTTCTGTTTTTTTTTTTATTTTATAAAAAGAAGTGGTTTCACTATTGTGGTGAGAGGTTAGGCAAGGTTTTCAACCTGTATGTTAACTAAAAGTTCTTTGATTAATTGGATTGTTACTTCATGCATTCTCTCTTCTTGTTCAGCTAGGCCGAATTGGGGCACACACTTGAGATGAGAATGACTCAACCCACATGTATCATTTGATGAAAGTACTCGGGGCAAACTCCAAACTCAAAAGCACCAGCTGACGATAGTAATTATTTTTCTAATGAAAAGTGCTGAAATTAGCTCGCGATAAAAGTTAGCCATACCCTCATTTCTGATAAAGATATTGTCAATGTGGATAGGGTAGCGTGTAAAAGGATTAATGTATGTGTATGATTATAGAAATATTTTTTCGGTAAGTGTAAAAAAGTTAAAAAAATAAGTTATATTATTTTCAAATTCAGAAAGCTGTCATTTTTAAAAAAAAGGGCGAAATTGAAATTGATGCTCTATGGTACAACTACAGATGAATTATCATTCAAATACATAAATTCATGTGGCAGGATGTATCCTCACAATGGCTCTTTTACTACAACTGTATATATACTTGAACAATAACATCACCACTATGCACTCATAATCGCTTCAATCTAATATTTTACAACGATCATTAACATGTTAATATATTTTGTATGATCAGAACCTTAAAAAATAACAACAATTTTTGAGTTATTAAATAAAGTCTACTACCTATTTTCTCTTTAACTTGATAAAATTCTTGTATATGGTCGTATATTATTCTTTGAATACTTTTATTTACTTGAGTTTCCTCAAAGGACCCAAAAAGAAAAAGAAAAAGAAAAAAAAGGCAACCTTCTTTCTTATGCGATATTTTAACGGCTTTCCTTTCACTTTGGTATCCACCCATCGTACTAAAATAGTATATGGCGCAAAAATAACACAGAGCTAAACGTTCATACCATGACAATGGTATTAAATTCTCTTCGCGGTCATTTCTTCAAACACCTTTCGTACACTAGCAGTACCATAATCACCGGCCGTTTCTTCACCGGCCGCCGCGTTCACAGGCTAATTCCGTTCATTCGTTTCTCTAAATCCTCTGCTGCACAAAGATACCAGCATTGGAAGCACATCCAGACTGCAGCTAAATTTTCCACGTTATCTTCTCCTTCTTCGGAGACTCCGGCTAGTGATTCATTCACTTCTCCGTACCTCTCTGTTCGCATTTGCTGTCATAAGGATAATGCCGTAAGTTAATATGCTCAGTTTACTGTTTTCTCTTGCTTGTTATGCTAATTTTACGTGTCTCTGCGCACATACAAGTTGTCAAGTGAACAATTTTGCTTGTGATAAATTGTTATATAGGCTGTAGTTCATATACTGTTGATGTTGAGAAGGAATGCTGAATTTCGAGCATCAGCAAAGTGCCAAAAATTACTACACTAGTTAGTGCGTTATGGAATAGGTGCGAACTTGGTGAAATACTACATTTTTGTAGAACTTTTAAATTATGTGTAGTTTTGAGTAGTTGAGTTGAAGACGGTGGATGCATACGCTGTGTGAAAACATACATCCGCCTTCGTGTATTAGGAAATTTGGAGAGTGAAACTACCATGTAATCTTCAGTTGTGTTATGTCAATTTAGAGCTCTGGTAGTTCGTGCTCAATCCCTAAATGGACAGTAACTGTGTAATATAATGCAGAAATTATCTGTACAACATATATCAAATTGAGCTTGAACTTCTATTTCTGTTTTACTATCAGGATATGCTCTCAGAGGCTCTTTTATGTTTTGGAGCCAGTTCAACTACTGTGGATGAAGAAGAAAGCAGTGAGAGAAGTGATGAGGTAGAGTCTCCATTATTCTATTCATTAATGATGTTTTTTAGGTAGGACGAATCAAAAAAGGCTTTTGATGTTTCTGCGTCTGTTTCTGTGTGCATGCATTTACCTTCTTTTCGCAACTGAATATACGTAGTGGTTCTTTGTTATGCATCTTATTGGAGAACTAGTAGCATACAATTGCTCTTCTGGGTAATTTCAATTTGAGGTGTTCAGAGCTGTTTAACTTTCAGTCACGTGTGGTGGAGTTTATCATCATCAAACTTCAGCTAGCATTTAGTAGTTACCCCCTAAATATGTTTGACTGATTTCTCTCAAACTTCTGATTTGTATTTATTAACTTTATTTTCCCTTTCTCCTACCTCCCAGATTATCATTACTTCCATCTTTTCTGTATGCAAAGATGTGAAAGACTGCATTTCACTTGCTGCTGATTCTATAGGGTTGCAAAAGATACCTAGTTTTGAGGTTGTGATGCATGACCACACTGATTGGATAAAAGCTACACAGGTCAACATTCTTTCCCTTGCTAATGACTATTGTGTTGTGTAGTAATATAAGAAATATTATATTGATCTTCCACCTGCATATTTATGCCTAGCAAAATACATGCACTGATAATCTTGGTTTGACAAGGGCCTCAAATCTTCTTTTTTTCTCCAAGACTAATAGCAACCAGCAAGATTATGATCAATTACCAACTTTTATGGTCTTTATGGACATGCAATCAAGTTGCAGTCTAGAGTCAATGTCTGCAAATTTCAAATGTGCTACTTGCCAACTCTTCTCTTTCTATTAATGAATTATTAAAAATGAACATGAAGCTGGATACTGTTTGTGTCTTGATTATCATGTCCATTTCTTGTTAAAAAGCATGAAATGAGAATGAGTTGTCTTGAAAATGCGGATGACCAAATAATGATTATCCTCTTAAACGGTCCCTTTAGATCATCTTTAGCATTTAACCAGTAGTTTAATAATCTGGCAAATCTCCCTGACCTTTGCATGTTTTAGTGAGTTACATTAATGATGAGGGATCTAGACGATTGGTTCTTTACCAATCCATTGGAAGCTTGCATGCGAATGCGATGAATTGATGTTATTATGCCACTGGATTCCTGTATCTCTTAATTTCAACTGCGTGTTTGGAAGCTAATAGAGCTTCTGACATCATTCTGTTACCAAGTCATGGCGTCTATATGCGGCACATGTTATCATCTTGGTGACTGGTTGAACCAGCTGAGTTAATTTTGATCTTTCAACCATTGTCAATTAATTGCAGGAATTGTTTTGTCCGGTGGAAGTTTCTGATGGACTCTGGGTGGTGCCTGAATGGACAACTCCTCCAGTATGATTATACCTCTCTCCCTTTGTTCTTATCACATGATTCAATTCGTTCTACACTCAGGCCCACAGTTCAAAGTATTATGTTAATATTCAATCAAACTTTCATATTATTGTCTCATGATTCTGCGGTCTTCCCGTTTTTAGTCCTCTTGGTTGTCGGTCATGAATGCCAGTGTGCACATTGTCGTATTTCCTCCATAAGAAATTATTCATACATATCTATAATATGTGTATGTTCTGTAGATATATGGATAAAGAGCGTGTGCTTGTATTGTAGGATCTTCAAGCAACAAATATAATCCTAAATCCTGGTTTGGCATTTGGAACTGGGGAGCACCCAACAACTAAGTTGTGTCTCCTCCTTCTGCGTGATTTGATAAAAGGAGGAGAACTCTTCTTGGACTATGGAACTGGTTCGGGTGTGCTAGCAATTGCAGCTCTTAAGGTACTTGGGTTTTCATTCAAACCGCGCTCTGCTGAAGTTAATGAACTGATTCCTTATAAATAAAGTTCCACCTAAAACTTATCCTTGCTCACTAAATCCAGGCCTTGCTCCTCTCCCTGTCAAAAGAATTGATCTTGCTAGTTTAATAACATAATTAAGGAACAAAGTCTGACACAAAAAGCACGATGAACGTCAAAACTTCTGGCATTTGAATAATAGAGATGTGAGTCTCAAACTAAATCTTTTGAACTTTATGAAGTGATAGATTAGAAAGGGTGGCGGTAGCTGTGGCAAAGGACCAGGAAATGTATTGAATTTAGACATTGGGGTGGTGAGGTGACAAATAGATGAGGAACAATTTTCAACTTCTATTTTCTTCTTTTATTGCTGGATCATTTTTGGGATTTTAAGGGCTTGCTTCTTTCTTTCGATTCCGTGAAACCGCTTCCTTAGACTTTTAATTTCAATTCTAAACAAGTGGATGGAAGTTGAGAAGATTGATTTACGAAGTCTTGGTTTTGTATTGAATCTAAGTTGGAAGAGAAAAAATGTTCAACGTTTAACCTGATTCGGTAAAAAATAGTTGGAGAAGCACAAACATTAGTACTTTGAACTAAACTTGATTTTTCTTGAAAAAACTTATATTCTGAAAAATGCATTCTGTGAACTATAACTTGATAACTGTACCTGAAACAAAATCAAAATTCTTAATCTGTAGGAGATTCCATCAAATTCACGGGCTGTCTACTTTATTCACAACTTAAATCTGATTTCCTTCTGAAACCTCAAACATTAGTTTTTTGAACTCGTCATTTAGTATCATGGTGTTGCTAATATCTTCATTGTCAAATATTTATCTGCAGTTTGGTGCAGCTTTTTCAGTTGGTTTTGATATAGATCCCCAGGCAATCACATCTGCTCAATATAATGCTACTTTAAACAACATTGGACATGAGGAATTGCTTTTATATCTTGTTCCTGGCAAAGGAATTCTTCCCTCTGCAGATTTTAGTTCAAGTATGGACATTGATCAAACTGCCTACGATGCAGAAGTTATAAATAACAGGGGAAAATATGACATCGTTGTGGCAAACATACTATTGAATCCTCTGCTTGAGTTGGCAGATCAGATTGTGTCCTATGCAAAGCCTGGTGCAACAGTTGCTCTTTCCGGGATCATATCTGAGCAGGTATGGACATTCTGTTTTATAGTTGAACTGTAGTGAAAAAGGCTTGGGGATACATTTGCTGGTACCACAAAGAATGAGGGAAAACTACAAGAATAATGCTGTCGTCTGATATTAGCCATTATTTGCTTAACATCATCATCTATTACCCATAAAAGATAACTAACACCCTATACTTGTATCCTTCTTATTTCGTGTCTGAAGTTAAAACTCCACTTCATAGAAAACGATAAGAGTAAAACATGTATATGGCAATACTCTACTTTACTATCTTTTTGATAGTCAACAGGTTCTATAACTTCCTTTGCTATTTGTTGTTCCTGGATTTTCAAATGACATGACTCTCGGTTTCAGTAATTCAATACTCATATCTAGTTCCTGAAATTTGTATGTATGCTTAATGATTGTCAATAATTTCCTCTCAATTATTCAATTCATCCATAGGCATTTTCTCCGATGAAATTACAAACAGTATTGGTATTGGTATGTAAAGAATCATGTGCATAAGAATGAGACTACAACTATGAATGTAGATTATTATATCTGTGTTTTGTTTTTGTGAAACAAGAAAAAATTGTAGATTACCTATTGCAATATTTGCATTATTGATTTTTCAATGTGATAAAATTCTTCTGCAGATTCCTCGCATACTAGAAAGGTATTCACAATACCTAGAGAACATTACAGTTTCAAAGATGGATGACTGGGCTTGCATAAGTGGCTTAAAGAAATGACATAACAGCAGCTAAAGGACAACGGAGGTTCATTTTCTAATGTTGTGGAACTTGAGATTCTACAAAACTACGGGAGTCAGATGTAGATCGAGCCCTGGAAGTCCTCTCCTCGCAGCTCCCTGCGTGAACTTTGCAAGTCATTTGACTTTCTGAGTGCATGGCCAATTATTCACCTCTGTTTATTTGGACAGTCTTGGAAACCGTTGTAAAAAAACCACCTACCTACTTCACTAATTGCGAGTCGAAGTCATACTTACTGAAGGTTGTGTGAAAAGAGACTGCCTCAAATCCCCAACTTTATCAGTTATTTAGTATGTAAATGGCTCTGTAAACGATATTTTCAGAAGCTATGAAGTTTATCGAAAGCAGCTTCTACCTCCCATTGTAGTGGTAAAGTTAGTGTACATGCTACCCTCTCCGTACCCCACTTAAAGGATTACATTGGGTATGTTGACACAAGGTAGAATACATGTGGGCTGTGGCACAGTTGTGAAATGTAATGCTCATAACATCCCTAGTTGCAATGTAAACTCCATCTACAAATGAATAAGATTCGGAGGCTTTAAGAAAAAGGGAAAATATTCATTTGTTTAAAATTCTCCAAAAGTGACAGTAACAAAGGATTACAGCAGCATAAGCATTTAAGACGTTCCAGTCAATCACCAAAAAGTTTGAGCTGAATCTGCTAAATTATAAAATTCAACACACATTTAGCAGATTGCAGCCAAATGGGGAAAATATCCTCTTAAATATGTTCTCAATAACTATGGAAAATATTAAGTACATCCAAATAGAACGACACGGAAGGAAATACGAGAGCTTCATTGTGAAATGCTTAAATTTTTATTCTTTTTTCTGTTCTACACAAACATAGCTAAAGATATCTTTGTCCATCAGCTTTCTTCTGTAGGATAAAAGAGCTCATAGCTTCACAGTCGGGAAAATGTTTTTTGATACACAAGCATTCACAGATTAAATTGGCATGAAAATTTAACTGAGCCACATCACCGATTGAGTTTTCTCCTGGACAGAGCAGGGGCCCTCTTGGGGATGTAGACCTTGTAGTTTACCTGCCAACATCATCATGTGAAGATAAGGTCAAACAAATGGAATCACAACAAATTACAAATGTCTCAAGGGTATTGGAGATGGCAAGAATACTCGAGCTTTGTAAAGACTAAATATATAAGAAATCAGAATATTGAATTTCCCATCATCAGTCCATCTATGTATTTTATTTGACAAAGACGAGCTTTAAGGTGACTCTCATAGACAGTGTAGTTAAAGAAATCCTGAAGTCCCAATAGGCGGAGACTTTGAACACATATTTGTTTCTTCTCTTTAATTAAAATCAGGTAAGAGTAAGTTCAACGAGAAATTAGCTGAAAACCAAAATATAAATACAACAAAGCAATGTATATTACCATGTATGTTTGGCAGAGGTCAGAAATACGAAAACATATGCAAGTTCTATCTCTAGCAATGAAATCCCAGTAGAGTAAATCCTTGTAAGTTTTACCAAATACCATGCCTGGGAGAGAGAATAGTTTGCTCCCCCGTCCCCACTATCAGTGTTTGGCTATTGCTAAAAGAAATCTATAGTTAGAATTACTTAGTAGTCACTATTACTTCATTACAACTGATGATTTCTACCAATATCTCTAATATTCAGATCATTTAAACAATCAGAAACAATTTAAAGAATCTAAACCAAACAGGCCATTTATTTATTTACTTGTAGGATTATTGATCAACTGTGGAGTTGAAAAATCCCAGCCTAACATGCATAAATAATGAAATACGAATATAATACCTGTACCGTCTCACCACCCCTCATTACAGACATGGTCTTTTGTTCAAATTCAGAGGCATCCTTGGTTTCATCTGGCTGGTGTTTTGAAGTAAGTCCATCAGATGTGGATCTGACACTAGAAGTAGTTTCTACAGTAGGACGGATACCGGCATTAACAGCTCCCATGTCTAAGTTATCGCTGGTCCCAGTGCTATGAACTCCAGGTCTCAAGGGAACTGGTGTTTTAATTATGTTTCTCTTGGAAGCCAATGGATTTTCCTTTTTATATGTCTGTACTGTGGTACTACATAATAGTTTACCAGGTTCAGGTTCATTGCTAAGAACTGGTTCAGTGGTATGGTTCTCCTGTTCTGGACTCTCTGAGAGTGCTGATCTATCAGCAGGTTGTGTAACACCCGGCTCAACGCAACCAGATCCTTTTCCATTATTCTTTTCAACTGGAGTATTTATCTCAATCTCTGTGGAATGAGAAAATTCCTTAGTAGTTACAAGCTTGCTTCTACATTTTACAGCTTGATTTAAAGCCAATCCATCTTTTCCCCCCCGCTCCAGAGACTTGTATGGTACAACCTCAGTCTTCAAAGGGGATAAGTGATTAACATCACTGCCATTCTTTGTTTCCTTGGCACCAGATTTTAAATTTGTTTGAAACTCTTTACGAAACTTCTGCAAATTCTCCAACGCCTTTTTCCGTAAGACAGTCTCAAGATCCTCAATTCCTGTATTAGCAATATTATCAGAATTCCCACTCTCACCTCCATTATCATGACTTGCTTCTTTGACTTTATTGGGTTTAGGATCCAGACCACCATCAACTTTTGTGGGGCCAAAAGTTTCATCAATTATCAAATTTCCATCCTGCATTGTTTGAATGGACGGGAAACAAGAACAAGAAGCTAATTTCCCTTTAATTTCCAGGTCATTATTGTCATGGTTTCTGCATGAAGGACAATCATGGTGCTTATTCAAAATCTCTTCTTTAAGCATATCTGGTCCCTGCTCGTCACCCTCTTCCTCACGTGTCTTTTCTGGAATAGTAACAACAGATCTTAAGCGCTTAGGAATACTCTCTTCCACATATTCCTCCCCATTATGAGTAGTATTACAAGAACATGAATGATGGTTACATAAAGAACAAACTGGTCCCCTACTTCCGCTCCTTCTGCCAGTGCTTGGCTCATTATGAATTTTCTTTTCTTTCATCTTTTTTCTAGACTTAATCCTGGGAATCTGAAGATTGGTGTTCTCATTACCACTATTAGTTTCATCATGGCAAGTGGAAAAGCTTTTAGAATCTCTACCTCTGGAGCTAACACTATTTTCACGTCGGCAACTAGAACAACTTCTTGAGTCACTGTTAGTGGAGCTAATACTAGCGTGTCTCTTTCGCTTTTTCTTCTGCACTTTTCTCCCATAATCAAGACTCTTTCTATTTGACCTTTTTCTTTTCTTTACAGGGGGTGAACCCTCACTGACATCTCGGCTTGAGGATCTTCTCTGGGTTCTTTTCTTCACGCGTTTCATGTCACGTGAGTGCCTACGTCTTTTCCTACTATAATCAACCTCTGAATCGGAGGACAAAGACTGTGGACTGCTAGAATAATCAGAGGAAGCAGAAGATGACGAGTCATCCTCAGAACTGGATAACTTCTTGGATTTGTTTCTTCTGCTTTTTCTCTTCCGTATCTAACCACACAACACATGAAGATGTATAATGAAGGATAATAAATTGGAATTGCCAGCGACAAGATGAGAATGTATTGATAAGATAACAGGAGGTAACCATACATTGTTCTAGAGAAAGCATGCCTAATATTAATTAAAAATATAATGCAATTTCTCATGAAAACATCTCCATGAATATTTGGGTATTAAATATATTCAATAAAGAGTATACAAAGTGTGCTGGCATGATCAAGCATTAAAAAGTCTTTCATAATTCTTTCTTCTGAGTGACAGTTAAGGAATTACAAATTGACACAAAAGAGAATATATTTAATACAAGATCTTAGATATCTGTTTTTCCATGGTGGCTTCTAAAATATACCAAGTATTAACAGGTGCAGATAATTGTTTCTTTTGATAAAGAACTCTAGATTTGCTCCACTAAAGTTATTTTACGGATAGTGCAGAAAACAAAAAAATACAAAGAACAATAAACGATTCATGGAACTCTAACTATAGTGATTCAAATGATTATGCAATGTGACTTAACACTCCCACGAGCGACCATGAGCTATATCACATGAAGCCTTATATTACCGATTTGTATATGAACATATGTTTAACATATTTACATGAAAATAATCCCTTCTAAACAAACTGGAAGGAGTATAAGTATTGTACCCAAAATAACCAGCCTTTTGAACTACTTTTTGACCCTTAATCTTGGAAAACAGTTTCATTTTAATTTTTAGCTAAAAGAACGGCTATCTTAACTTTTATCCCCAAAAAACATCCCCTGATGATACACACATGAAAAGATCCGAGGGTACATATAGCTTATGTTGTTCAAACTCTTCAAAAATGCCGCCGTGTGTGTGTTGTATCCTCCAAAAAGAAGTGCATTTTGGGAGGATCCAACACGGGTGCAACGGACATTTTTGGAGAGTCCAAGCAACATAGCAGATAACTAACCATTAGTTTTAATTCATTTCCCTATTACCACCACCAGTAAAAAGAGAACTATTAGCATCACACATTAACAAATATTCCATAACATCACAAAAATTAATTCAGTAAACAGAAAAAACATAAGCCAAGCAAATTAAAGGAGAATTCTCATAGTCCAATGAACTTTTAAGAATATTGAAAATAAAAACCATTTTATTTGATACAAAACAAAGTTCAATAACTTTATGGGATAAATTCTCATAGTTCAATAACCTTTTAGATGAAGATAAACCCTAAAATACATAACTATACACAGAAATTCAAAACGAAATAGAAAGAAAGCAACACACCATACAGGAACATTATACATAATACTGAGCAAGCGAAACGAATGTTATTATGTGAATAAATGGAAAGCATCGAAAAGGAGAGTTGAAAAAAATACCTTAGAGGAAATTTTGAGTCTCTTCTTTTTGGAAGATTTTTTCTTAGATGAAGACTTGCGTTCTCCCATTGTGTTCGGATTTACTTCTTCTTCGTTAACAAAATTGCAATAGCAAAAAGCAAACCCCAGATAAACGAATCGATTATTGCGATCAATATCGGAAAATCTACAGATTGTGAATTCGGATTTGGAAGAAGGAAAGGAGTTCCGTTTGGTTTGGTGAGAGGATCTGGAGGGTGCCCAACACACTCAACCCCATAGATATATAGTATCCATTATCGTATCAAACTGCACCTGCTTATCTCTAACTTGTACTTTACCGTAATATGTATGTACTTAATGCTTGTCAATACCCCTAAACTCCATTTGAATTATTTGTTTTATTTTCGAACTATTAATAACCTTAAAAATATCCTTTTACTTAAGTAAAGAGATAAGAGTCTGAAACTAATAATTTATGTCAAATTCAATGGCGATTTCAATACTTCTTTCATTTTAAAATAAAACTCTCATACCAAAGAAATTGTATATTTTCTTATTATTATTTTTGTTATTTTGAAAATTTTCAAAAAAATCAATAGCTCACAAACCATATAGAGATATAAACTACGAGTATTAGGAAAGTCTATTCATGAAAAAAAGAGACCAAGTGGGGGACATACCCTAACAAGTAACATCCTTTTTGGATTCCACACTCACTATACCAAACTCATTCGAGTGAAATTTGATTCCTACTTGAATATATATATAGAGAGAGAGTTTACATCCTTTTTGAGATACGACACTTGCTACACCAAACTCAATGGAGTGATCGGGTGAGATTTGATCCCTATTTGAATACATATATTTGATTTTTTTTTCTTAAAGCGTAAGCAAGTACATTTTACTAAATAAACCATAACAAATAATGGAGAAAGCATAACGAACCTGAGCAGAATAATATAATGAAGGAAACACAAAAAACATGTAAGACCACTAAAACATTAACTTAAGTCAAGCAAATATTGATTAGAAAACACTTCGGCAGCAACTTAGTTTCTACATCCACAAACTTGAGAGAGATTTTCAGACAAGATACAACTATTCTTTTGCTAAGTCTACAAGATACAAGTATCTGCAAATCGGTGCACTAAGCTCCCACTATTTACATTGTATCTTCATCATCACTTGAGCTTGAACGAGTATCAATGTAGAATTCAGAATCAAATTCACCATCAATAATCCTGACTCTGTTCAACACACATTATCAACAACATAGAAATGTTATATTAGGAACACTTAAAATGAGCATATTGATTTTTTACGATAAAATGTAATGTGAATTAACGTAACTATTTTTTTTTACTATAAAAAGATGAAGAGGGTGAGAAAGTAATAAAACCTTTCAAGGACAAATTTCCCTTCTTTGTACTTCTGGCTTTCCTCATGGGATTTCTCCTGTGTAAACGAGACACAAATATTAGTCGTTAATAGAACTACGCATGTTACATATACTGTGTTAGTTTAACTTATATACACCGATTCATATCCCCCAAAAGACAATAAAAGGAACTTTTTGTGTGTGTGTTCCCATGGTTGTATGTTTTGGCTCTCGTGTTGGTGCCTATGGACAAAGAAGAGGGAATGAGAGGGATTACATATTTCCAGCCAAGAATCTGCCCACAGCGACGACAAAATATATCCGTCACAGTGTGCGTTCCAGGAAGCATCGTCCTCTCCTCGCTCTGTCCAAAAGTTATATTTACCCTGAATAACACAAAGAAAGAAAGGTGAAAAATTCCATCTAATGAATTGGAAAAGAAACATAATCTGATCAGGCTGAGGAAGGATAAAAGAACAGAAAATGGAGCTAACAACACACATCTCTTGCACAAATCAAGGAAGCCAAGAAAAGAAGACCACTGAACTAGATTGTGCTCCTGCTAAGAGATCACCACTTACCAACCATGACATAAACTAATCCATTCAACCCCTAATTAAAAAACAAGCTTCCGCAGTAAGATGATTCAGCATAGCTTCCTGTCAGAAAATAAGCTTTAAACATAGCAACATCTTTAAAAAAGGAAAGTGGTCTTCTACCAACTACAGCCGCTCAGAAAACTCCAGTCTACACCAAGCAACCATGCAAAAGTACAGATTCCATCCAGCATGCAGCATTGTCTTCTGTTTTGACTTGCTAGGTCGATAACTCATTAATGAAACTATGAAAATTTGAATTATAGTTGCTGATGACAGCATACAATCTGGGCAGCCAGGCTAATCCAGGGAAACCAAAATCTTGAAAGTAGATGGGCAAGAAGAATTCAAGCATACATACGTATGTATGTACATACAAGTACCTCGGACAATTGAGCAAACCCTATATATCCAAATGTGGCCTAAGTCAAACAGTTATGCTCAAATGCACATAATATCTAGCTGATGCTGATGTTGAGCGAGCCATTGGAACTTGCAATTAACAACTACTTACCCAATGTAATCCTATAGGCGGGGTCTGGGGAGGGTAGAGTGTGCCCAAACCATACGCCTACCTTTGGAGGTAGAGAGGTTGTTTCCTATAGACCCTCGGCTCAAGGATAAACATATCAAAGAAGATTGAAAAAGAAATAACGGAAGAAAAGAAATCATGGCAAAATACTATAGAAAGCATGACAAAGTATTTTGAATCAAATGTGAGAAGTTTCTACATGCCTCTGCCCTCAAGTGCATTTCTTTGCAATAGCCATTTATATCTATAACCCCCCACCCCCCGAAATTTAAAGGAATAATAATAAGAACAAAGAAGGGTTGCTACTTGTCTTTTTGGTGGCTTGTACTTTTTGTACCATCTTGGTACTATTATTAATAAAACCTCTACCATTTCAAAAAAAAAATGTCCGGACAGGCAATATCATTCATTCCACAAATACTTGGTCACAAATGGCATTCTGTTGAATAAAAATGACCGTATTGCCTATAACTCACTGAAAATAGACGCAACGGGTTGTTAATGGTGATGTAACACTTAACCAATTAGGAGAAACACCTATCAACTGCATCCGAATGATGTGCCAAACATATTAAACAGCACTTTCTCCCGACAACAGATACAGTATCGTACAACCCCCAAAAAGAAAGCACCAGTTGTCACTCACGAATGGATGCAGGTTTATCAACAAATTAAATCACTTGTAAAACAAAAATCCAGATTCATGAAATAGCAATGTATACTATCAATATGACGTTAGAGGCCACTCACACTTTATTGAACAGGTATGCTCTTCCACTGCTGCAATGAAAAGCCTGAATAAATAGCATAAAGGAGATTTTGTCAGACATAGTTAACCATTGCAAAATGAAATGCAATTTATGCAGCAAAGACGAAACACAATTTTCTCATGCAATATACCACGACAAAGAAAGTAAACTGACAGTTCATACACAATGAGATAAAAGAAACTTCTTGAGTTCCAATTAATTTACTTGCTTCGAGAATTCCAACTTACATCACCTATTGGTGCTAGACAATTCTTATGCATATATTTTACTTACGAGTGAAAAAAGGAGTTGCTTTTAACCAGGGGAGGATCTACTAAGGGCCGAGGGGGTGCCAAAGTGCCACTCATTGAATAAAATAATACATGATGCCACTGGCAAAACTCCGGACATTCCTTCTAGGTTGCGTGAGTTCGAACTAAGGAATACTTCTAAATCCAATCATATTGTAGCAATAAAATTCGCGTTCGCGACAATTGTATTTATTTATAAATTTTAAATGATTACTCTTATTTGTTTAATCTTACTTATAATTATTTTATTCCTTAATCAAATATAAATTAAACGTTTGACTTAAAATGAGAATGGGAGAATGTATTTTTAATTTTAATTATGAAAACAACGTTATAAGTTTTACTTAATTTTATAAAAATGGAAAATAAATTTATTTTTTAATATCTAATAAAATAGTATAAATCTCAAAAATATGGGGAAAAACGTTGTTACAGGGAGTCGAACCCGCGACCCAACACTTATATTGTGAATTCTTGAACCCCCTTCACCACTGAGCCATGACCTTAGCTTATATTTAGGGGGTTCATCACTTGGTATATACATATAAATCAAAAAATTGATCCTATATATACCGTGTAATTTTTCCAACGAAGGGGGTTCGGATGAACCCCCTTGGATCCATGTAGATCCGCCCATGCCGAGGGGGTGCCACGTCACCAAAAAGCCTCACCCGAAACTTGGTACATATAAGTATATATATATATATATATATATAGAAAGAAAATTTACAATAAATAGTTAACGTGCCACTCATTGAATAAAATAATACATGACGCCACTGGCAAAACTCCGGAAATTCCTTCTAGGTTGCGTGAGTTCGATTCCAGCCCTCTACAGTACTTTAACTATTTTGTTTGCTTCACTGGGCAATTAAGGAGCTAGGCATTTCACCTATTCTCCTCCTTTTTCTTAGTAGTGATTCTTTTAGACTTTATTGTTGAATTTAACCTTGTTTGATTTTTTTAATTATTTTTGTTGCCTTCTTTCTATCCCCAAAATCTTTTCTTTCCTCTAAAAGAGAAGACAGCCTTCCCTGTTTAAATAGCAAGATGTCTATGTTCAAAGCAATGTTGCACCCCAAACCTCCAAATCCCAAATGCAACTTTGCTTTTAGCACACGCAATGAAGAAGAATCTACAATTGAGTTCTTATTTAAAACGACGTGTTTAATAAGTCCCACACTTAAACAAAGGAGGAGGGTTAATCTATGCTTGGCAACCAACATTAAACTTGTCAAATTCATGAACTTTTTCACCGAAACTAAACACTTTGTATTATTGCATCAACAGCTACGAAATTCAAATGTACCCTTAGCATCATGCATGATCCAACTCTGGAAAAACCTCTCCCAAGAGATCTCCTTCAACAAAGAAATAGAAAATCTAGCTAAACTATGAACTATTTTGTTCAAACATCTATGAATATACATAAAATCGACATGATCCAACATGCTTGAGAGCTTCCAAACGTCTTCACACGTCACTGCTATCTCTCATGAAGTAGTCACCCATTTCTGGATCTTATCAACAACATTTTTTTAGAGACGAATAAAATCTGCACACTCTTCCATCCCTAACTCAATAAACCATTTTCCTAATGGTCAATTCAAATTCATGATGAGGATTGATGAATTCGTAAAATTTGAAACTTCTGAATTAACAAGAAAAGCATTACATTTGCACTAAACAACACAAAAATTACTTATTTACAACCTATAAAAAAGGTGAGATTTTTACTTGTACCGAGAAGTGATATATAAC